TGAAGCTCTCTATATAAATCCTTGCATTTCCCTACCACAAAAATCATAGCAACCAAAGAGCAAATTAAACAGTCTTATATCTTTCTGCCATACATAGTCAATATGACGATCATGTCAATTGCAGCCAAAGCAGCGCCAGCGCAGTCCCTGAGCAAGGAGCAGATAAGAAAACATTTCCGTAAGTGCGATAAAGATGGGAATGGGTTCCTCACCAAGCAAGAGATAAAGGAAGCATTTGACAGACTCTGTGCCCTTTTCCCTGCTTATAGAACTCGTAAGGCAATTGCAATTGCAGACGAGAACGGCGATGGATGTGTGAATATGAAAGATCATGAGTTTGAGGCACTCATAGATTACGTTTACAACCTTGCCTACACCAAAGTTAATACCGCTAAAAGGGTTTAAGTGAAGCTCCATGTATGGATGTTTAGTAGTTATATATGATAAAAGCAGCAGCTGCAGGTGTACTATATTTATATCTATGGAGCTGTGAGTCTATAAAGAACTCTCGCTTGATTAATGCCCTTTTCTTCTTTCTTTTATGTGCAGATGGTGTTTAGTTTTGCTAGCTAGTCTACAACCGTCTTTTGAGATCTGAAATGATTGTAAAAGCACTGGTAATTAATCAAGCAATTTAACTACAAAATTCGCAAAAAATTTTCAGAAATCCCACAATAGAGCACATCAACAAGAAGTACAAGAAAATCAACCAAAATCCTGCCATTGAACCAAGGAAGATGGACAAAAATCCAAATCCAAATATAATCAAACAACATAACTCGATCTCCCAGGGGTCACCCGCCAAAATGTTGGATTAGATCCATCCCTCTTATGCGGAGAAGTGGCCCAATATTTGTTGGACAAAGCCCATATATTAAGCCCACTTGAAGACATGTTTTTGCAGCCCTTTAAGATAAAGTAAGATGTTTGATTTGTGCGTGCAAAGTGGACAGCACGTGAGAGGTGGAGCCCCCAGAAACGAAAAGAAAGCGCAAGAAAATTTTGCTGATTTGGTACCGTGCACAGTTTGTAACTTTGTTCAATTTATAAAAGGTATCATTGGATTGAAATGAAATTTTGTCTAGGTATTCATTAGATATCAATTTGCGTTTTGAACAATTAGTTTTTCACTTAGAGTTTTATAGCTTCTGATTCATGCCCCTAAACCATAGCTCTTTTTTAGTGATGTTCTCTTTTTGTGGTCTCATTTTTTTTGTCAATTTGTGGCCTACTATGTACCTTTTTAGAAAAGGATATTGTGTACTCTTTTTAATTATAATGGAGCTATTTTTAGTGGACTAGATATCCCGTGGTTTTTATTTATTTTTGGGGTTTTTTACGTAAAAATCTTGTATTTCTTGTGGTGATTGTTTTTGCCTTAGCCATATTTGATATTTTGCATACTTTAGTTGCTATCATATTTTACTTGAGCTTGATTTAGCTTGCTCCTAATAGTTTAAGATAGATTGGAGAAGATTTAATATGATGTTGTTTTTGTTTCTGCTATGCTCAGGTGACACCTTGTTCTTCCTAATAGATTGGTATAAGAGCTTTTAGCTTTTTTTTTTTAGATATCTATTTGAATTATGGAGGTTGATACAAGTAAAATGATATGTTTGAATGACCTAGATTATTAGAAAAGGGGAGTTAAAATGAAAGATCTCCTCTTTGAGAAAAAGATGCATTTGTCGGTGTTCAAAACTCAAAAACCAGATATTATGACTGATGAAGAGTGGACTTTTGAGCACCAGTAGGCTTTTAGCTATATAAGGCAGTGGATAGAAGACAGTATCTTAAATCACATTGCAAATGAGACACAAGCTAGAACTTTAAGGGAAAAGCTCGAGACACTTTATGCTTCAAAGACTAGCAATAACAAGTTGTTCTAGTTGAAACAATTGATAAATTTAAAGTACAAAGAAGGAAGTCCAATCTCAGATCATGTTAGTGATTTCAGCACATCCTTGATCACTTGTTTGATATGGGTGTCAAGTTTGATGATGAGATTTAGGGACTTTGGCTGCTTAATATTTTGCCTAATTAATGGGGAACCTTTCAAGTTTCATGGACCAATGTTGCTCCCAATGCTGTTATGACCATGGAATATGCTAAGATTGGTGTCTTGAATGAGGAGGTGAGAAGAATTAATTAGGTTTCATCTTCCATGACTTCCTGGGAAGAAGTTTTAGTCACTAAAGACAGGGAGAGAAGCAAATATAAGGGTCAAGGAAGCAAAGATAAAAGTAAAAGTAAGTCTAGGTCAATGTACAAAGATCTTGAATGTAACCATTGTAGTAAAAAGGGGCATATCAAGAAACATTGTTTTCAGCTTAAAAAGGAGATGAGGCAAGAGAAGAAGAAATACAATGATAATGAGGACCATATTGCTATTGCTGTTGATGGTGATCTTCTTTTTGCTAGTCATGAGAATGTTATCAATTTTGCATCCCATGAGACAAGCTAGGTTATGGATTCTGATGCTACATACTATGTTACACCTAGGAAGGAAATTTTCACATCTTATACTTGGGTGATTTTGGGGTATTGAAGATGGGTAATGATGGTCAGATCAAGGTGATTGGTACAAGAATAGTATACTTGCAAACCAGTAATGGTACAAAGTTGGTTCTTAAGGATGGTTTGACGTTTTGAGAGTTTCATAATTCATTTTTTTTCTTCCAATTTTACCCTCCCACCTCCCCATAGTAAATACGCTACAAAATCTAAAATCTCAAAAACCTAAATTATACTGCAAAGTAATTTTCTTCCTATTCTTTCTCTACTCCGATCTCCTCAACCTTTTTAATTATTTTTTTTTCTGATGGTACTCTACTAGATCTGAAATTTTTGGGTTGGCTCTTCACTTTTCTCCACCATGATCTCCTCAATCTCTCTTTTGGTCCTCTTCTTTTCCCTATTCAGATAATTCTTTTCAGACAACACAATTAATTCTTCACACGATTTTTAGCCATAGGTGACTTCTCCAACCATCTCTGGCAGCAAAATCTAGAATGAAAACTTTGAGGGAATGGGATTGAAGAATGGATGGCAAAAGAATTTTCTTAATAATAATCTCGAGATTTTTTGCACCCCAAAAAAAAAAAAAAAAATCTCGAGATTTTAAGGGAAGAAACCGTAAAATTCAAGGTTTTTGCTCAAAAATTAAAATTGGGAAAAGAAAGGTAAAATTGTACTTTAAACATGCCTATTCCTAAAATCAAGAGTGATTAATTTTGTTCTCCTTAATCCTGATGAAATGAGCTAAAACATCAAACATAATGGAAGAGAGGGAGTAAATAGGAACAGAGAGAGTGTATAAGTTTAAGAAACTTACACCAACTAATTTTGGAATTACCCCTTAAAGTGTATAAGTTAAGAATGCATTTATTATATATTTTATTATTAATTTGTATAGAAAAAATAAAAATTTGATTTTCATATTATTAATTGTCTAATTAAAATTCTCTATATGGCATTAAAGTTAAAAATAGAGTTTGTTTTCATAATTTTTTTATATAAATTAATGGTAAAAATTTACAATAACTATACTTTTAACATTTGTCCTAAAACCAATTAATTTCACATTTAAAGAGCTGTTTTTGAAATTTTAAGTTTTACATTAATTGCTAAAATTCTAAAATAAACAGTTGATAGTTGATGTAACACTTTAATGTAAGTTTTTTGGTACATTGTAGCAAAATTTTTCATACATATCTTTTTTTTATAATTTGATGTGAAAATTTTTCAACTTTACAAGTTCCGTTTGTCCAAATCCACTTAATGATTAGTTTTTGAGTGCAGTAGTTTGTCTTTGGAACCATGGATGTATAGTTGATTATGGGAGATAAGAGTTGCTATTTTAATTCTTTTCTGCTGTCTGGTCTATATGGAATCATTTTTAAAAACAATTCCTGGGTTGATGGTAGAGTCTTTTGGCTGATTCAAGCCAGGTCTTTTGCATGGATAAAACGCATATATGTTTCATTTGTGTCTCTAAGGCCCATAGTTAGACAGCTTTGAGTGTTGTAGAGGAAGTTGCGTGCTTTAATGAAGGCCTCATTTGGTATAGCGGTTTTGGGGTAGTGGTTAGTGGTTTTACTTAAATCGCTAAATATAAGTGTTTGGTAAATTTATATATTTCGAAACCACTATAAATAAAGTGTTTGGTAAAATTTTTATTTAGCGGTTTGAGACTAACGGATAGCGGTTAGAGTTCAAACTGTTAGCGGATTGAAAAAGTTAGTTTATGTAACTTTTTGTATCAAACCGCTAACGGATTAAAATTTTTTAATTTTATT